TAGTAAAAGCTTACTTTTCAGTATGATATTAGTAGACTGAGTCTGGGAGATGACAGACACACCATGTCATGGTGAGAAATGGCAGTGGTGTGGTTGAATGCTGTGGTAGCTCATGGTGAAATTTTAACATCAGGTAATTATTGGTTCAAATCCTGACCCTTCCTTTACTCAGTGATTTGGGATGAGTGATGCTTCAATTTGGATATGATTTGTCCCAGCAAAGGTTCACATGCTAGAAGCCTGGTACCCAGTGTAGTAATTTTGAGAGGTGGTGCAACTTTAAGGGACAGGGTCTACTGGGAGGTGATTAGGTCGCTGGTAGGCCACCCTCATAAGGTATTAATGGCAGGCTCGAGGCGCTCCTTCTCTAGAGTGGGTTGTCATACCATAGGGCCACCCCATGTACTTGGCTCATCTGCACTTGGATAGCTCCTATTCCATTTCTCTGCCATATTTTGAAATAGATGGGGTCCTTCACAAGAAACCAAGCAGACGGGGCCACCCAATCCTGGGCTTTCAGACTCCAAAACTGAGTTAAATAAACTTTTTTGATTTATGCATTACCTGATATCAGATATTTTGTTACAGCAATAGAAAATAGGCCAATACAAGTGTTGATACAACTCTGGGACTCAATGTTTTTACTTAATCAAGGGGACTTATTATAATGTCTACTTCACAGGGGCTTGTCATGAGAGTTATGTTAGATAACACATAGGGCTACTTTGACATGTGTAAGTGCTCATTCAATATCAGTTCACACTGTTCACAGTACAAAGTATTGGTGTTTTTTTTTTTCTTTGATTAGTTAGGACTTTGGACCTCTCTGCTTTGCCCCCAGGTAGTTGATTGGCTATTAGTTTTCTCTGGTGTTTTTTTCCTTTTCTTTGTGATATATTCATTTTCTTAAGATGAGTTCCTCCTGAGCTAGGTCACCCATTCACCATGGCTCTGCACGTGGAAGAAAGCAAGGAGGTGTGTAGAAGGGAGGGAATAGCTACAGGGGATCTGGAGAGATGGGATGAACCTGACTCTGCTGAGTGCATATAATCAATAGGTGAAATCGATGTGTTTATAAAAGTTACAGGCCCTGCCGGGTGAGCTGTTTTCCATGGTGACAGGAAATGCATCTACTTCATTCTTCCTCTCAGTGTCAGGATACCCTCAAGCATCGCTCTCACAGAAGAATGGCCCAGGAGTACAAGGTCATGTCTCTCTCATTGTCTCTACCTTCCATCCAAAGGGTGTTTGGGGGTTAAAGGCTCCAATATAAACTTGGGAGCATCTTTGCTTCTCAGAAGTGAAGGAAATACTTGCAACTGAGCTTTGAGCATTCACTCAGCATTGATTGTGTACCCACTATGTGCAGAAGGCTTTGTAAATTCCTAGGGACTCAGTAGCAAGTGCAGTGGATCTGACTCAGACCCTGCCTTCATTACACTGAATCTGGCGAATGATGGAGATGAACCAGTTCTGTAGCTATGAGGGCCTTGAGATTTTGGGGGTCAGGGGAGCTTTTCTGAGGACATGGGGTAACGTGGCCCAAGGGAGTGCAGGCTACTAATAGAAGGGTGGCAGAGAGGAGAGCATCCTGGCTGAGGGGAAACCACAGGAAAGGTTCTGTAGAAGAGGGACAGGGATCAGAGCAGCAGGCAGGAGTTGAGGGCATGGGGAAGACCTGAGATCAGCAGGAGACCTAGAGTAAGTCATGCTGGGGTGCTTGGTCTTCATCCTGAATGGACAGTAAGAACAGAAAATATAGAGAAGGGGCCACATTTACGTGACGAGAGGACCCTCTGGTTCCTGTGTGGAGAGTGAATTCTCTGTAGTGATTTGAAGATGGAGACCTTGTTCAAGGGCTCTGTGTAGTTCAGGTGAGAGGTGCAGGGAATCAGGCTCTTAGGGGTGCAGCAGTGATGGAGGGGAGAGCCAGAAACAGTGCATTACTTAAACAATGAGGTCATTGAAGATGGGTTGAGGTCAGAGTTGATGCTAGAGTTGAAGGTTTTTCCTGAGGTGGGACATAGTGTCAGGAGCAGGCTTCACCAGAGACGTAGCTCAAACATTCCATTTTAGACACTTTGAATTCAGAGTAGCAGAGGTAGTGAAATGGAGATGCCATGTGTCAGGGAGACATATGAGTTCATAGCTAAAAATGAATACAGGCTGATAACAAATTAATCATTATAGGTACCTTTTTTTATAAGATGGAGTCCAATGGGTGGTTCTCATTCTAGCCAGCAGCGCATCACGAGGGGTGCTACACCTAGAACTTTCTGATGCTAGACCATCTTTCTGTGACCTTCACAGTTCTTTCTGTGTTCCTCTTTCCTTGGCATAAAATGGTGATAGTTATGTCTGATTCCATCTAGCCAGGAGACATGGCTGAGGATCCATTAAACTGAAAATAAAACATGTGGGGCTTTTGGAAATAAGAACTATGTTAAAACAAGGAGTTATTAGAGTTGTGCATAAGCCAAAGAAAAGAGACATACAGCCTCAAGGCTCAGTATTGATCTCGGTCCTGGGTGCTCTCTGTAGCAGAATAAATCTGACATTCCTCCCCACAAGTGCTGGCCGAGTGGATGGCAGGTGTCCGGCTGCCAGCCTTCTTACCCTATTCCAAGGTTAAGTCCTTTTTTGGCTCAGGCCAGCTCTGTCATCCCCTCTGCTGCCTGTGTGGTGCTGGCTGCCCTTCCTACACTCAGTACTGTCAGGGATGATTCCAGTTGTGAGGTTGGAGTCTGGCCAAGAGCAGATGCCCTCTAATTAAACTAGGGACAAGTCTTTGCAGAAGATCAAAGAGTGGTTCTGTAGAACCAAATGTTGTAGAAAGTTAGGGTTTTGAAATTTTGAGCTGCATTAAAGAATATGGAATTTGCTTGATCTATCCATCCATTCAATCACTAGATTTACTGAGTAGTCAGTGAATGCCAGGCTCTGAGATAAGCCTGGGGATAAAGGAGTGAAGTTGTGTGCGCCCTGTAGGCACCCTGAAGATATGTCAGGCACAAAGATGGATATCTAGTGGGAAGCCCTCAGAGCCTTGTGGGCTGGAGTTGACTTGCAGACTCTCAGCACAGGACCTCAAGGGACACAGGTGACTAAAAGCTGTTATAGTGAGGGTATGGGGCCCAGGGATGCTCCTTGAGGAGCATAGCATAGGTGCAGAAATGACCTGTGAGGACAGGAAAGCCAAGAGTGACCATGCCACAAAGCCCACAGAATAGTTCAGGGCTGAGCAGGCTAGGGATGTGACAGGTCACTTCAGTTAGCTGGCTCAAAGATAGATTTGAATAGCTCGAGGAATGAATCCTAAGTGAGGGGGCAAAAAAAGACATCTAGAGATGACTCTTTAGAGAAGTTTTTCTGGCAAACTGGGCAAAGAAATGGGGCAGTGATGCTTGCATGAGTTTCTGTGAACATAAGATACATCCTCTCCGCCATTCTTAAATGTCTGTCCCACTTGGGACATGACACCTAAAACATTCCTGTCATATAACATACCCTGAATGAGGTCAGTCTCCAACATGACAGCAAGGACTCCTCTCCTAAGAATCACAGTGGCTGTAATTCAGACTATGCTTTAAGAAAGAAATCATAATCCAACTTAAACTGTCACCCATTAAACATAGCCAAAAAGCTGTTTATATTAGTTACTTTTCAGTTGCTGTGATAGAAACACTGACCAAAGCAATTTATATAAGGAAGAGTTTATTTGAGCTTACCCTTCCAAAGGGGCAAAAGTCCATCATAGCGGGGAGGCACGCGGCAGAGGAGGCTGGAGGAGGAGTGGAAGGGTCTACATCTTCAAGCAGGCATAGGAAGCAAGAGAGCAAATGGAGATCTGGCAAGGCTTAAGAACTCTCTAAGTCCACTTGTGTGTCATGAGCTGTGCCCTGGGCACTGGGGAGCAGCCAAAAGCAAGAAAGTCTCTGTCCTAATAGAGCTCCAGTCCAGGGAAACTAAGAGTAAGTGCCTCCAAGTGCAGTGAGTTTGCAACTTGAGAAACACTGGGTGCTCAGGACAGTGTCTCTGGGTCCTGGCCTGCTCCACAGGCTCAGCAAGTCTCTGAACAAGTGGAGATGGACCAGCTGCAGGATACATTAATAGGCTCCAGCTGGCTCAAGTTTGACCCAGGTCAAAGTAAGGCCAGTGCTAGAGGAGTCCGTTTCCACTTGTACCTTATTAAGGCCAGTCTGTGTAGGAAGGAGGGCAGGAGGAGGGAGTCTGATGAGAAGTGGTCAGGAGCCAGGTATGCACTGCCTAGGTTGTCAGTTGGAGTTTGGTTTGGTGTTTCTCAGAAAAGCATTGTGAAGTTTTTTTGAGCTCTCTCTCATTCTCTCTGTCGTTCTCTCTCAATTTTTGTTCTAAAAATGTACCGGTCTGGGCAAGTGACAAGTGAGTGCACCTGCTCTCAGTCAGGGGCAGGCATTTAAGCCTCTTCCAGTCCGATTTAATCAAACATGGTTGAGCATTTGGGGAAAGGATAGAGGGCTGGGGCAAGGCCTTCTTCCTGCTTCTCTTTCTGTCTTGTCCCTGAATCTAGGGGACTGACAGCAAGTGGCCATGGATAGGGACCAGACTGCAGAGACACTGGGTGTATTGACCTGGAATAGGGAGGGCAGAAATCCACTCAAACTTTGCTGTGCACCTAAAGCCCCCAGGGACTCGTTGGAAGTACAGCCTCCTGGAGATCTTAAGCAATATTGATTCAGCAAGTTGGGAGGCTTGAACCAAGACTCCATTTTAAGAAGCTCTCTCCTCTGTCCACCAAAATGATACTGAGTCTGTGTCCCCACCCTTTGAGAGTGTCTCAACACTGGCGCCTTCTTGGCCTTCTAACCTCATTCCCCTCAGTCTAAAAACTCTGTCAGTCCTGCGGAGAATAAATCACTGCCGCGCAGCATCGTGCAGCCGCCAAGGGGCGCCAGAGGCCCCGGCTGTACGCTCCGGCTCCTCCGCCCGCCGACGCCGCGCCCGAGCCTGGGAGCCAGCGGAGCCAGAGCGCTGCGGGCTCACAAAGCAGCCGGACGCACGGCGGCGGGGGAGGGGGGCAGGTGCTCCCGGGACCAGCCGGCGACCAGCCTTCTCCGCGATCGCTCCACAGGAGCCCTAACAACTCGGGCGCCGGACTCGGGTGGGCCCCCAAGGTAGGTGCCGGCGGAACCCCGCGCCCCAACTTGGCGTATTGGCGTAGTTGGGACCTTCCGCGGCCACCCGTGGGGCTGGCTGGGTCAGGAGGGCCTGGGCGCATCTTCGCGCGTCCCAATTGCGCCAGAGTCGCCGGGTGGGCGCAGGGAGACCTTCTCCTTAGCCCGGAATGGGAGGCCCGGCTTGCGGGCACCCCCACTCGCCCCATTTGCAGGAGCCTGGGATGCTGTTCAGAGCTGGGTTCTCCGCATCCCTGCCCCACAGCTGTAGGCACGGTCTATAGGAGTGTGGGTTGAGGCTCCGGGGTTTGGGGAGGGGCACTGATGTTCCCCATCAGAGAGCAGCGGTCTGTGGGGCACCCGGAGTACAGGTGAGAGGGGTCCTCTGTAGTTTGACAACAGCCCTTAATGTGACCCAGCGTCTGCATTTGTAGCTGAGTCTCCATTGCTGCCGGGTCTCTAGGTCTGCGTGTAGCGTTCCAGGTGTGCGAGGGATGACCCTGTCCCCGCCGTGATCCTGGCGGTATAGCTGGTGCGGCGCTCCCAGGCGACCAGACACCGGGTGGCGGCGGCGAGGGGCTGGTGGCGGTCCTGCCCTGGCCAGCTCACAGCCCGTGTTCCCTGCCCGCAGATGCCGGCGATCGCGGTGCTCGCGGCGGCCACCGTGGCGTGGTGCTTCCTCCAAGTAGAGAGCCGGCACCTGGACGCACTCGCCCACGGTGCGGCCCCCGACAACGGTAATTTTCTAGACAATGACCAGTGGCTGAGCACCGTCTCCCAGTATGACCGGGACAAGTACTGGAACCGCTTTCGAGATGTGAGTACTGCTGCCACTGGCCCTGCGGGGAGGAGCGGGGGCGGGAGGGAGCTTCGTTCTCCAAGAGGGGTCCTCTGAGGCAGGTGGCGGCCAGGGTGGGGGGGGGTCAGATGCAGATCTCCCACCGAGGTCCACAGTCCGTGCGTCTTGCCTAAGAGGAACTTTAAAAAGAACTTCAAAGGCCTGATGCTCTTGCATGTTACCTGTGGTCCAGGTGTGTGTGCACTTGCAGGACTGATGCAGGTGACCACACTGTAACAGGACGCATACTGGGAACAAGCAGCTCAGCCAGAGGGGCTTTCTAAGCTTCTGAGGGCTCCTGATGGCAGATTGGCTTTGCCGAGCCCCAGAGAGAAGCTCCCAGGAGCAGCAGTGAGCTGGACCATCTTTTGAGTGTTTCAGAAAAATCCCCACTGCCTGAGCATAGCTCATTTGTTAGGGAGCCAGCTGTGGCAGGCATGAGAAGAGGTTCAGGGGGTCTCATGGCAATGAGCCAGATAAAATGTCAGGGAAGAGTGTGGTGTTTTGGATCCTTCCAGTCTTTAGTGGAAAGGAAAGGGGAGCTGGTAGCCCATGGTGTTGGTTCCCTGTCCTGAAAGAGAGCCCTTGCAGGTGGAGAAACTTATTCCTGGGCACCAGGGGGCAGAGGCACTTCTGGTGCCTGTTTCTGCCCAAGCCCTTGCTGACGCTTCCCATGTTTACCCAGATCTTGGGCAAGAAGCACCTGGTGAAGTCTTTCCAGCAGATGGCATCCTCTCTGTGCCAGCTCCTTCGAAGACTGCCCCAGGTGGCTCAAGCCAAGCCCTTCCAGGGGGCTAGTGTGACATTTTATGGCACTTGACATTAACGATTCCTGTCCCCAAGATGCTTTAAATATTGTAAAAATGTCCAAGAGGTCAATGAAAAGAGTAAAGCTTTTATGTCAAATGCATTGCTGTTTTATTTTCTGGAGCAGTTTGGGTGTTAGAATAACATTTTTGGCAATATATATTTTCAAAGATAACTTGATCAGTATGACAGAGCCTCTTTTCATCACAGGGCATGATTTACAGGGTGAGGCAGGAGATGAACAGGGCCATGAGCTTCTCTCCGCTGGATTCCCTAGAGCCCATTCTCAGCATGCCCAGGCACTGCAAGAAGTAGGCCTGGGAAACTGAACGAATGAAAGCCAGATGTTTCCTTGTGTTTTGAAAATATCACCATCTCTTTCTCTTCTGGAGTGGCTGGTGAGCAGCTTCTCTTGGAAAGAGACTTTCACATACTTGCATTAAATGTCCTCCATTATTTGGGGCCTTTTGCAACAAATCTGTCCCCTGCACCCCAAGCTAAGGAGATACCATGTCTTACTGTCACTACTTGGCTGTCTTAACATCCTTGATCCCCTTTTCTGATCTAATCTGTGGAGTTTTGTGTTGACTACCATTGCCTATGGCTGAAAGATGGCCAGATTGTGACACTACCATTCATAGGTTTGCTGGGGAGAAGTGTGAGGGAAGTATTTCTACTTAGGGTAGAAATCATTTCATTTTGTTTTGTTTATAAATTATTACATTTCAGGTAGAGTTGGGATACATGCTGGAAACTCTTCTAGAGCTGGCACATTGGGGCGGCTTTGAAGGATGGGCCACCTTTGCTGGGTGTCTTGGTAGTGGGCATGGGTGCGATGGAAATGCTTGTGCCTGCTGGGCCTTTGGGTTGTGGGCAGGTCTACCATCCTTTCATCTTGCCCATATCTTCATTCTCAATGTGTCGTAATTATGGATTTTTTAAGTGAGCTGTTTATGTCTTATTTTTCTTTTGGATGATTCTAGAATTAAATTTTTTGGGGGGTTAATATTTGTTCCAAACCTGACTGGTGATGAAACTCACCTGGGTTATCTGCTAAATTACACCATCCAAGATTTTCCGTTGTAGATTTGGATTCTGTTTTGTGCGATGACTGCTAGAGTTCATATTTTTTCAATATTTTTTAATTTACTGTTTTTATTTTATTTTGTGTGTATGAGTGTATTGCCTGCATATATATATATATATATATATATATATATATATATATTATATATATATGTGCATTTGTGTCGCGCAGTGCCTATGGAGTTCAGAAGAGGGCGTTGGATCCCCTGGAACTGAAGTTATGGACCGTTGTTAGCTACCATGTGGGTGTAGGGAACTGAACCTGGGGCCTCTGCAAGAGTAACCAGTGCTCTTAACTGCTGAGCCATCTCGCCAACCCCTAGAGTTCATATTTTAAACAAACATACTAAACAACTCTTAGGCTGGTCAGGAAATACTGCCTTAATTATTGTTTTAAATAAAGGTCTAAGGCTTGCCAGCAAAAGAAGAAAGCTCTAGAGCAGTTTTAAATGCCAAACCAATATTTTTAGCTACATATAGTTTGTAAAAATGATAATTTGGGCCGGGCATGGTGGCGAACGCCTTTAATCCCAGCACTCAGGAGGCAGAGGCAGGTGGATCTCTGAGTTCAAGGCCAGCCTGGTCTACATAGTGAGTTCCAGGACAACTGAGGGAGACCCTGTCTCAAAAAGACAAAAAAAAAAAAAAAAAACCCAAGATAATTTGACCTAGCATACCATTAAAAACACATCTAAAAATGTTTAAGAAATGACAAACTATCCATCATCAACCATTTTCTATGCTTCACAGAGTTGCCTGATATCCACAGTGGCTCAGACATAATTGAATGTCATTAACCTCTTTAAAGTGCTGTGAACTCAGATCAGATGCTGTTTTAGGGGAAGGACAACTATCTTCAGTTGGGCTGTTGTCTTGGAAAAGCCTGGGCCTCCTGGGATCAGGGAGAAAAGGCTGTTTTCTCTAGAAACTCCAGGGGCAATAGATAAAGGTCCTGCGGTGTAGCAGTGTTTCAGACAGCCTGATCACTTTCACTGAGCCTGACTGATTTGCTTCAGATTGATAAGACCTCAGCCTTCGTTGCTATTATTTTGGTGCTTTTTATTTTGAAGCTTCTGATCTCTTTGAAAGACTGTGTCCTAAGAATACCTTAATGATGCTTGCCAATTTTGAAACTTATTGTGAAAGAAAACTTGTTTGCTCCCCGACTTGTTACTTTGATGTACTTGGGGGAGATTTAGAAATGATTTTTGATCTTGTGAAGCTAAGGGTTATCTTATGTTTATTTCTTTAGTGTTTGGGGGAAGGGTCTCCTGTGGCCCAGGCTGGTCTTGAATTCACTACATAGCTAAGGTTTTCTTTAAACTCCTGACCCTCTAGTCCACACTGCCCATGTGCTGGGATTATAGGTGTGCACCACCATGCTTGGTTCTAAGGACTCCTTAGAGAGGGGTGACAGTGCCAATTGGTAGTTGTTTCTGAGTCAACTTTGAAGTGAGTAGGATCCTGGGACGAGTGCTCTGTGCTCTCTCGACTGTTGAATGCTCTGATATCGCTGGAGATGAAACGGCAGTCCGTGACCTGTCACTTTGAATGTGTCTTACCACTCTAGGCACAAATAGCCACTCTTTTCTTCCCAGAAGCTAAACCATTAGAACTACAACATGACTTGTTGGCTGGAGTTATAGATCCAGGAATGATATGACAACATTCAGATGATTGTTCCTAAATGTACATGCAGTCTATTCATTTGATTATTACTTTATAAAGATTGGAAATTAGGATGTTTTAGACTGAGGGAGGCCTGGACTTTTGCAGAAATACAGTATCAAGAAGGAGAAGATGCAGAAAGCAAGTGTTTGGCTTAAGTTCATAGTAGTTTCCTATCTCTAGCTGTCTTGCATTTGACTCCTACATGGTTTGAGTTTGAGACATTAGCTGACATCAGATGTGGCTTTGGTCACGTTCTCTCTATTCATTCTTATGTTCATTCAGTCTTATAAATATGAGATTCAGAACTACAAAAGTGAGCAGGATTAACATAATCTTCTCTTTCCTATAACCTCTGGTCCACTGTTAACTTATGCTGTCACACATTTCTTTCTTATTCTGTGCTCTTTTCAAAGACAAGTTTTTTCTTATAAAGTAATACTTGTTGGTTGTAATGAAGAGATTTAACACTGAGGAAATAGATAATAGCTAACATTTATGGAGTGCTCTGTGCACCTGGCATTGTTCAAGGCAAGGTACTTCCTGTATATTCTTTAATATTTATAACAGTCCTATGAAGGAAGTACTATTATTATCATCCCCTGTTTACTGAGAATGCTAAGCCTGTTGGCTAAAAATCCAGTTTCCAGAATGTGGAGGAACATGGGCCCGGTAGTCAGTCAGCTGAGTGGATCTCCAGAGTGTGCTCTGTCCTTAGCTCCATACACATAGCATTTTGAGTCTTCTCTGGTTCTAGTCTGAGGGCAATCAGCCAAGACCCTGAGGGGCGGGAAGCCAGGCAGACAGAGCTTACTGTTGAAGTCATGTCAAACTTTTTCTTCTTCTAATAATGAGATTCTGATTGGATTGAAATAATATTGTTGCTTACAATAAACATGACATTTTCTTTCTTTTGCACACATGAAACAGCCCTGACATTTAACTCCAGGATAATTACCTCTAGCAAGCCCAAAGAGTCAGAAGTGTTGCCTTGGCTGGCATTTATCTTATTCCTGAGTGACCTGGGTTTGTAATTCTAATGAAAGCACAAGGGCCAGCCCTGGTGCTGTTTTTATCTGGTGTATATGCTGTGGGATGGGGTGGTCTCTGTAGAAACAGAGTCTCAGTGACAGCATCTGATTTGATCATGTGCTTTTAACTCAGTTATAATGAGTTTCAAGGGCAAGTGGGGCTTACTGATAGAACAAGGGCTGGCTCAGTCGGTGGGGCTGGTGACAAGAGATGGTATGGCTTAGTGGCTCAGTCATTAATCTGTCACCACAGGAACTTAGTTTGTAATGGAGAGTAGCAGAAAATCATTTTGATTTAACAGGTTCAAGGAGACTTAAATGAGTTTGTGATCCTAACTCTCTTTAATGAACCCACTATCTTAAATCCCCTGTTCCAAATGATCACTG